GAAACACACACACACACACACACACACACACACACACACACACACACACACACGAGTCAATGACAAATAACAGCATTCATGATAAAGAACAGGAAAAATCGTTCTTCTTTTTTTTTTAATTTGAAATGTACTCTTTGTATTCATGTCGGTTTTATATGGATTTGAAAAACGTTTATAATATTCTTAATAAAAAGGTTAAATCTGCTGACTAAACAAATGTGAAAAATTATCACATTTTCACTTTGAATACATTTGAATGTGTGGTTCTGATTTGAAACAAAAAGTTATGAGTAAAATATTGTCTGTTCAATGTGTTCAATCATGTATGTTCAAGTGTTTTTTTCTAGTAAGTTGGCTTTTAGTGTTATTTGATGCTATAAAAACGGGGCGTGGTGTCATGGTTGCGAGCTTGTGATTGGGTCTGTGGGAGTTTGGGCGGGACTTTGACGCCACGGCTCCAGCTCACGATCACTACTGCACAGACTCCGCTCCAGATGAATCACTACTGTGCCAACTCAGGCTAAAAAATTAATCACTTCTGCACAGACTTGGGCTCCAAATGAATCACTACTATTAAACAGACACTCAAAAATGTGTTGAGGTGGTTCAACTCAATAAATCTGAATTTCAAACTTCAGAATAAAAATGCAACACTCACTCTACAAACATTGACTTGACTCTATTTAAAACAGTGATGTTTCAGCCAACTTTAGGGCCTTCATTAGTCAAAGGGAATAAAGTCAAGTCTATGTTTGTAGTAGAGTCTGAAATTTAAGGCATGTTCATCACATAAGAGACATTGTCAAGAAAAGCGCTATATAAATAAAGGTGACTTGACTTGACTTGACTGCATGTATGAACTGCATATCAAATGTATTTTTGAAAAGACTAAAAAAAAAGAGCATCACGTCATTGATGCAGAAAAGCACCTTCAGTCTGGCAAATAAATAAAAAACATCAAAACAAAAGTACACACTTATTATTAGCTTTAGCCTGACGTCTGCGGCTTGAATAAAGTTACATATTTACGGACTGTGCCCAGGTTGCTGAAGAGCCAGCGAAGCTCTTGCTGAGGTAGGTTAGATAGGTTGTGTTTTTGCACAGTTGGAAGCTTGTGCTCCCTGCGCTCGCTCTGTGGGAGATAAGAAGCCCTTTGTGTGCGCTGAAGGTAGTTGTGAAAGACAGAGCTCGCGGGAGAACGCGGTTAGTTCTCCTTCAATCGCACCAACAACTTTGTGATGCAAAGCATTCAAACAGACGCTGACATTATGCCTCCTCAGCGATCCGTCCACAAATAATGGATCATTCACATATGCATGTATTAGTTTCCTGTTCTGTGCATTCACAAAACATAGCTTGTGTGTGTGCACTTCACATTTGAAAGTATTACACTGATGTTGAGAGTATGCATTATTAACAATCATCTCCTTCACACCAGCCTCTTAATTGCTGCGGCAGGATCTTCAGAGAGTTTTGCGATGAGAGAAACGAAGCACAGATCCTTTTGCTCTGATCTGATACCAGTCAGCCCATGGGTTTTGCTCATTTGCTTTCATTGGACGGAGCTGCTGTTTGATTTTGCTGTGCTGGGCTGAGCTGAGTGTGCAGTGGTGGTGGTGGTGAGATGAGCACAGAAAAGGAAGAGGAAGTTTTCCCGAGAGAACTCATCGAGGGTGAATGTTCGATCTGAGTTTTGGCTCCTCGAGGGCAATGCTGAGTTTGACAGGTAACAAGGCTGTTTATCCACCAGAGTCCACACCAAAACAAACGCACAGCACATGATCTCGCTGTGCTTGTAAATCACAAACAAAACATCAGCCAACTAAACATTTACAGTCCAGCAAGCAGAAGAGAGTATCCTCCATAAATGAAGTGATATTCCCTGCCCAGTTATTTGTCTTGAGAAATGATGACTGCAAAGTTTGACGGCAAAAATTCTGTTTGCTGATGAGGTTAAACTAATTCTCTGGAATATTTGTTCTTGATTGGTCAGTTGTGGCATTCTGCGGCCTAAAATGAAAATAATTTTGACTCACATCAATGTGAATTAATTTATTTGGCAGGCAGCTGTGTATTAAGTGAGATAATGTATATTGCGCTGGTTGTTTTAGCAAAATACACCATTTATTGATAATAAAAATGTCCCGATCATCCTATATACATTCATACTGCCTGACTATTATCCCTCACTTGATTATTGTTATTATCCCTCAATGAATGATTGGATGAAAGCTCTGTTTCTGCTTTATTGTCCACTGCATTCATATAGGCAGCATCCTATTCAAGAAGGAACAAATAGCATGCGATTTAAACAGGAACGGGGTTGATAGCTGCTGGATTACTAGAATAAACCTTTTTTTATATACTTTTTAGTAGCGTATGACTCAGCTGATTTTGTATGAATGTATTTATACTAGTTTGGGGTTAATAAGATTTTTAAATGTTTTTAAGACGTCTCCCAAGCTGCAAAAATACAGTAAAAACAGCAATATTTTAATCTATTATTACAATTTAAAAATAACTCTTTTCTATTTTAATATATTTTAAAATGTAATTTATTCCTGTGATGCAAATCTGAATTGTCAGCATCATTACTCCAATCGTCAGTGTCACATGATCCTTCAGAAATCATTCTAATATGCTGATTTGCTGCTCAAGAAACATTTATTATTATTATTATTACTATTATTATAAACGTTGAAAACAGTTGTGCTGCTTAACATATTTGTGGAAACTGGGATATTTATTTATTTATTTAGTCATTTTGATGAAGAGAAAGTAATAGAAACAACATTTATTTGAAATAGAAATCTTTCGTAATATTATAAATGTCTTTACTGTCACTTTTGACCAATGTAAATGCATCCTTGCTGAATAAAAGCATTAATTTCTTTATAAAAAAATTGCCCCTAAACTATATATATATATATATATATACACACATTTATAAATAAATCCAAATTTCTCGATTCTATCTACCATCTTGGATAATATGTTGCATTAGAATTTGGTCAAAATGATGGATCTTTGATGAATCATTTTGTTCCCTGCTGTTCGGAAGAGTCTTGGCATCAGGATCGTGTCTGCGATGCCTTACAACGCTGTCTAGGTAGGTTTTGTAACAGACCTGATGTGAGTCTGGTTAGAAGAAAAACCTAATTATTGCGATCAATGCCCCCATGCTCGGACTCCTCACTGCATTAAAGGGTATCATTTCCAGCATATCTATCCCGCCACAGATCTCTTTTCTCTTAATAATGTTAGATCGCAGCTGTCAGTATTCATAAATGCTACAGCTGCTTAACTGACAAGTCACCTTTTCTTCCCTTTCTCTTGTCAGAGGTGGCTTTGCTCAAACAGGCTCAGTTTCCATTTGAAAGTAATTACTTAAAAGGTAAGAAAACTGAAAGTACTAGCTTAGCAGTTGATTCAAATTGTACAAGTTTCCAAAGCACAAGCTGTCGCTCCTCTCAAATTAAAAGACTGATAGGAATTTGCTTAGGTGCGCCAAAATTCTCCAGAGAGACACATGAATTACGTCATGTATAGCTTTGCAACGTGTGAAGATGAATGCCCTGAAGATTTCTTGGATGTTTAACAATTCCTTTTGAAGCCCCTCTGCAACAATGAAATGGTCCAGCTTGCCAAGTTTCAAAACCCAGAGGTAAAGCTTAAAAAAAAGGAGAGTGCACTTTTGATGTTGCAAGCCATTTAAATTGAATATTCAATTATTGTGCAGAAATTAAGTGTCCACTGGGAGAGGTGTCATATGATTTTGATGCAGAGGTCGGCGTTTCATGTCATGATTGCTGCATTCTTTATCTGACTCACAATGTATAGAACATGAATGCACTTTTCAGTCTTTTATGCAGAACCTTAAAGACTTCCTCTAGCTGAAGCTTCAAAGCTGCATCAGGCCGTTTAAATAAACAAATACTCAAAAGAGCCCTCACTGCGCCTCTGAGTCAAAGGAGGAGAGCAGTCAGCCATGGATTCATCATAACACTCATTTCAGAAATACAGGTTGATTTATCCCTGATGTGCTCAAAGGGTGGGATGAAATCCACATCACAAGCACTTTCATTCCCTTTTGGAATGTGCTCCTGAATATTAACGCGTTTAATGCGCAGTTAGTCGTTCATGAGAACAAACAAGCTTCTACTGCAAACATTTGGACATTGCATTGATTTATCCCTGATGTGCTCAAAGGGTGGGATGAAATCCACATCACAAGCACTTTCATTCCCTTTTGGAATGTGCTCCTGAATTTTAATGCGCAGTTAGTCGTTCATGAGAACAAACAAGCTTCTACTGCAAACATTTGGACATTGCATATATCATTGGGTGGAGTGAAGTTTCCTGTGATCGTTCTATTGTGATCTGGATGGCAGGGGTTTTTTGTATTTCAGATTTATACCTACAGCGATTCATTTAGAGTAAGCTTTTTGTGCAAGACAAAAGAAGAAGTTAAAGAATCTTTTGTCAGTGTGTTTGAAAAATGTCGTACCTCTAATTTTGCCCAGTCAGAGGCATTGGTGGACATCACTGTGCCCTTCGCTGCAGACGTCTTGAGTCGAAGAGACAGATGGAAGTTTTCTTTGCCCTCTTCCATTTGATAGAGGTATTTCAGATAACCCTTGCCGTCAAGTCTCACAGCAGATTCTGCAACGCAGGAAGCATAAATAATAAATACATTTGGCAAAATGTGCAGCAGCTGTCCACTTCTTGTAGACACTAATAACGGGAATCAAATTAAACAAGCTTATAGACGGACATCACAACAGACATCTTTGAAGGAATAGTTCACCAAAAAAATCTAAATACTGTACTGTTTACATACAAACTGTTTGAAGGTTTGGGATCAGTAAGATTTTTTAAAAGACATTTATACTTTTATTCAGCAAGGATGCATTAACCTGATCAAAAATTATAGTAAAGACATTTACAAAGTAAGATTTCTATTTCAAATAAATGCTGTTCTTTCTATTCATCAAAGAATCCTGAATGAAAAAGCAAACTATTTATTTTTTAACAATGACAATAAGAAGCAAATCTGCATATTATAATTATCTCTGAAGGATCACATGACACTGAAGATTGGAGTAATGATGCTGAAAATTCAGTTTTGAATCAAAAGAATAAATTACATTTTAAAATATATTCAAATAGAAAACAGTTATTTTTAATTGTAATAATATTTCAAAATATGAATGTTTTACTGTATTTTTTATTACATAAATGCAGCCTTTGTGAGCAGAAGAGAATTATTTCAAATACATTTAAAAAATCTTACCATCTACAAAGTTTTGAACAGTAGTGTACGTGGAAAACAAAAGAAGATATTTTGAATAACTTTCAAACTGCTTTTTACCAAAACATGAAAGCATATAAGTGACCAGGAGCCATAAAATTAAAATAAAAAATACAATTAAAGTATCATACTGTAAATATTACAGTATGTGTGTGCTCTTAGTGTATGTGTAAGCAACAGACTGAAATTAAAGTCATTATTCATTGAATATCTTTGCCTCTGGCATAGCTCTCAAATCTTATTCATGTTCACATTCATTTAAATATAATGTGCCAAAACATTACGTCAATGATGCCAAATGGCTTTGGTTTTTCCATGTCTCAAGTTTAAATATGAACAATAAAGGGAAATGAGATTGAAAATGTTCTGTGAATAGCAACCTTTTTCTGATCATATAAAACTTTAGACACATTATAGTATAATGAAAATAAAAGTCATATAGGCCAGTGGTTCTCAAAATTTTTGACTCCCGTCGTCCAAAACAATCTTCAGCCCCATGTCATTCATTATTTGCTGGATCATTTTGAAATTAACTATAACTATAAAAATGTATAAATATTATAAAAAATACCCATAGCATTTTCTAGAATTCTAGAAATCACAGTATTAAGGTGAGGTGGGAACGAGACATGGGAATCTTAGTTTGTAAAACAGTTGTTGAGGGGGTGAATTATAAGAAATATCTTGATTTTTTGTTGTTTAGCTTATTTAGTCTTATTTTGTATCATTTTAAGTCATCTTGAGGGCCCTGGCCAACTGGCTGAGAACCACTGATATAGACTATTGCTTTTTTGTCTTTACTGGAGTTTGAAAGTGCAGCTTGAAATTTCAATTTCCTTTTGTGTTGTCATTTTGGAACGACGTGTGGGTGCATTTCATTTAGGGTGAACTGTTCCTTTAAGGCAAACCCAGAAAGGTGCAACTTAGGCCCTGTCCACACGAACGCGGTTATTTTTAAAACCGCAGCTTTTTCTACGCGGTTAGGCCATTCGTCCACACGCAAACGCAGCACCAGGTCACTGAAACCGAACATTTTTGAAAACTCCTGCCAGGGTGAAGATTTTCAAAAACTCTGGTTGCAGTGTTATCGTGTAGACAGCGAAACCGGAGTTTTTGGCTTGTGACGTCGGAGCCTGCGCTGTTATCTCCGCCAACTGGAAACTTTTTCAGGCTTCTGATCAGTGTTGCCAACTGCTTTCAATTGAAAGTAGCTAAAACTGGTGGCTAAATGTCACTAGATGACATCACAATGGCAAATTCACTGATCTATATAAAGATGAACGTAGATCAGTGGGCAAGATGAGAAGGTTTGTCCAAGCAGTTGCTATATTTTTTTTAAAACGGAAGAAGGAAAAACTCCGTTTATAAAAATACCCGTGTACGTGTGGACATGGCCTAAGTGAGAAACAAGATAATATTCAAGGCCTCCAGGTTTGTCTAAATCCTCAGTGGAATGCAAAATAAGACGCTGGTGGTCTCGCCGCCTACCGTTGCAGGAGCACACGCTCTCCCAGCTGTGCTGCGGGGTGATGAAGTTCGCCCGTGCGGTGGCATAGTTACTCATTCTCCCCTGCCTCATCACCACAGCATTCCTGCAACCCCGAGGTGGGCAACCAGCCCCCACACAACCATCATGCTTCAGTTTCAAGACGTTTAAACCCAGCGTATCTTCTATGGTGGAAAGGACTCCAGTGAGGCGCTGAGCAGACACGGGCTGGACGGAGCGGTCCTGAGCTCTCCGGACCAGAAGGACCTCCATGTTGACGGAGTTTGGCTGCTGTTGCAAGCTGGCGATGTGCAGCTCATGTCTGGGGATGTTCAGCTCCACGCCCAGGCTTCGCTGGAGGCCTCGCCAGTGATCGGACACGAACTCTTCCGCCGAAAGTCCAGCCAACTGCAACGTGAAGCCCTGATCCAGATCGTGTTGAGCGGCAGCCCAAACATGGACCTTCACTCCCGCCCAGATGCTAAATTTCCCATCGGACACGCTCACGTTCAAGTGGTACAGGCCTGGATCCAGGTTCTTCTCCACCACGATCTTCCCATCCACTGCGTCCACAGAGAACAGGCCTTGGTCCAGGCCATCAGAAACCAGTTTGTAAGACAGGACGTCTTGGGGATCTTGGTCCGTGGCGTGCAGCTTGCCGATGACACGTTTGGAAAACGTCCCGCCGGCGGTGGTGATGAAAACCTCTAGCGGAGTCACAGTGGGTGGATATCGGCTCTGCTCTGTGATGTTGATTTTCACCACGCATATTGAGGACAGAGGAGGGTGGCCGCTGTCAGTGACCTGTGGAGATGATATTTATGTGATGTGTGAAAAAAACATTGTGACGTGCGAACAATACACTGACCTTTGAAGAGTCGCTTTAAATAATTGAAGACGGTGTGGTAGAATCACTGGTCCACAGATAACAATCAAGTTTAGGTCAGGTCGTACTGTCCCATACATGCCATATTCCATTTGAAGGTATAGTTCACATACAAATGAAAGATTCTGTCATCATTTATTTACTCTACAGTACTGTTGTTCCAAACCTGTATGACTTTTGGTTTTTCTTCAGTGGAAGACAGGATAAAGGAGAAGTTTTGACAAATGTTCACGGTACTCTTTTCTACACAATGTCAATGAATAGTAACCAGAGATTCCTTTAAGGTAAAGAAAGCATAATTTTAAATTAAAATTTTACATTTAAATTCAAGGAAACTGTAGTAAGTATAATTTTTAACTAGTAAAGGAAAGTATGTCAAGACAAATTTGAAAGGTTGGGTTAACAACGCCTGAAAACCTTGAATTCCATGAAACGCCTGAATTCTTGAAGGTCGTGTAGGTTATAAACAGAGGCAGACTAATAAATAGATCTGAACTTAAAATTTTGCAACCTATTGGAATGTGTATTTACAACATAATATAACAAAATTGTATGTAATATAATTAGTGCTGTCAAATGTTTACATAATATATGTGTGTGTACTTTGTATATTTATTATGTATGTATAAATATACACACATACAGTATATATTTTGAAAATACGTACATGTATTTACATGTATGTATTTATATACATATCATTTATATTATATATAAATATATTTAATATATAAACAACATATTTTTCTGAAATATATACATGCATGTGTGTGTGTATTTATATATACATAATAAATATACACAGTAAACACGCATATATTATGTACACAAAAACTTTTATTTTGGATGCGATTAATCGCGATTAATCGTTTGACAGCACTAAATTAAATTAAATTAAAATAATATAATATAATATAATATAATATATAATATAGATGATAAAAAATCATCTTCCTGTGTTTTCCAGCAGAAAGAAATTCTTATAAAAATATGTCTGACACTGATGGCTATTGCAATCCACATGGACTGTTATTTTTATGAATGCCTCAAAGCTGCATCATTCTCCATCTTACAATTAAATGATCCATTGGCTGTGGAACAACATAAGGATGAGTGAATGATGACGGTCTTTCATTTTTGGGTGAACTACCACTTTAATCTTTAAACAAGCATGTGTTGTAAACATGCGCTGTACTCGTAACTGAAATGAATGAATGAAATCTTTCACCTGGATTTTTAGCAGATGCTGAGGCTTGCCTCTCCTCCTCAGCGGGGAGGATATGGACAGCAGTCCTCCTTGGTCAATGTGAAAGCTCCTGTCCTCATTTCCCGAGACAATATAGAAGGAGAAGGGAGGGCCGTTCTGAGGCGTATCTCTGTCTGTTACCAGCAGCTGCAGAATTCCACTGCCCACAGCCTCCCCTTCCTGTGTCCAGAAAACACCATTAATCAAGCCACACATGCTTGGAAAATACCGACTTTTAGAAAAGTTGTAGCTGTCCTTTCTCGAAAATAGATGAACAATTAACATAAATGTGTTCTTTATTTTTATCGGGACGCAGGTGATTCTGGAGTTCACTCCTCTGAGTTTTATTGTATTCTACTGCTCTGGCAACAGAATGTATCATGGTGAACAGAGAGAAATTGCTGGAAAAGAATAAAAATAATCAATCCGCCCTGATGTTTCTTGCTGTTTTACTAATCGATAGCGAATTTCTGTCACGGGACTCGTTTTCAATGTCAGATTCTTCTGTGCAAACAAATCTAAGCTTGAAGAAACAGCCCAATTCTGTCGAAATGAAAACACAGCAAGAACAGATGGTGATTTTTATCACTCAGTCTGCATTTGTGCTACCGATTGGACCGACATGTGCTCCTCGTCTTCCTTCAAGCTGGCACAACTGGAACAGGTAATTGAAACGGAGCGCTCGGCTGGCAGAGATGAGCCTAATTGTTACTGACCACCTACATGGTGGCAAATAGCCGCCGCACTCTGAAGACACAGATACCTTGGGTGGGGGTAAATGGGGTGTGAAAAATATTTCCAAGTCAGCAAAGTTGACCCTATAATTAGAAGCAATGGATCTGGCTGACTCCGAAAGGGTAAACCGAGTCCGAACACTGTTGCAGAAAAAAATGACTATATTATACATGGCTGATTGGCTCTTTAGCCTGAACTCTTGGCTTCCCCTGTGCTCATGTGCAGCTTAGAGCACAAATGTGATGACAACCCTGTCCGGTTTTTGCACCTTTGATTTCTCACAATCCTATGCTTCAATGCATTGAAGAACAAAAATGGTGTAGAAACAATCAGAAATTGCTACACTGCTAAAAAAAAAAAAAAAAAGTGTAGCACTTTACGCGAAGCCTTTGTGTAATGCATTATAAAGGTATTATAAATGTACATTGTAATGCATTATATCTTTTCATAAATAAATGTAACCAAAAGGATAATCCATTATATTAGAAAAATCCATAATATTTGAAGGTTTGTTTGTAATGCGTTTTAATGCATTATGCTTTCTAAAGGTGTAACAGTGAATAGAAAGGTATTATAATGTATTATAACTGGGGTTACAATTATTCATGAGATCATACAATGTATTTTAAGGTGCATTACAAGACATAATTAATGCATTAAAATTATTTTATAGTGCATTATATATAAAGGCTTTAAGTAAAGTGTTACTAAAAGTGTTTTTAAGTTGTGTTAACAAAAGTGTTGCATTAAAATTATTTTATAGTGCATTATATATAAAGGCTTTAAGTAAAGTGTTACTAAAAGTGTTTTTAAGTTATAAATAAAACAAAGACTATTGGTTTACAGGAAAACACTACACTGAAAAAAAAGTGGCTGGAAACAATTTATTTTAGCTACATTTAAATTTCAACAAATGTTGAAAGTTAGTCAGCTAAATTTGTTTATTTAAATGTAGCTAAAATAAATTGATTGCAACTACTTAACTTAAAAATATGTAGTAACTTCAATGAATCATTTTTTTTTTCAGTGTATTTCATTTTTTTCTTCTTCAAAATTTCATGTTTAATTCAATGTGTTACTAGCATTTTCTTCAACATACAATCTAATTAATTGTGAAATTTAAATTCCGAGTGAAAATTGTTTGGTTGAACCTCGCGTCTGATGGAGCGGCAAGAAGTAAATATCCATTTTTAACATATTCTTTCATTTCTACCATGAAACAACCATTTTAATCATGAAATGTTTGCTTGGTTATCTGTAGAGCTCATTTGAATTTCTTAGATCGTTAGGCGTGATATTGTGGCGCCGTCTGAAGCTGTCTGTCTGAAGTAAATAAAATCATTGACTAACCGGGCAGTGAGGCAAAAAGGTAGATTTTGGCCGTGTGTTTTTACCTGAAGGACGAGGCTGTGATTGATCTGCGAGAACATCGGTGGGCTGTCGTTGACGTCAGATACGGTCACTGTCACCTGGACGGCTGAGGATAAAGGGGGATCGCCTTCATCGGCAGCTTGCACGGTTAATGAGTAGTGCGTTATCTGAAAGGTGGGGGGCTGTGTCAGTGGGATTATGAAGATATGAACATCACGGCACCGATGTTCAATAACAGCAGTCAAATATGCACAGTAGTGATTAAAATGTTCATCTGTGATCACAGGATTCAACAGATACAACTAAATCTCTGATAAAACAAATGAGTCTGTGCTCTGGGCAGCAATTCAGGAGTGAAAGTGAAACCCACCTCTTCCCTGTCCAGCGTGGAGCGCACCGTTACGTGGCCGGTGCGAGGGTCGATGCTGAACTGCTGCTGTGGATCACCGCTCACAATAGAGTAGATGATGAAGTTATTTGGAGGCCCATCAAGGTCGACGGCTCTTACCTGAGACAGATGCACAGTTAGGAAAGGAAGATGAGCACACCTGAGAGGTATTAAACAAAGCTTCAAAGCTCTGGATTACTGCAGATTCGTCTAATCTAGCGGCCTGCATCAGACACGGCTAATGTCACAACGAATCGCTGAGCAGACTGTGAGTGCTCATATACAATCACCATATTTATATTATATATAAATATATTTAATATATAAACAACATATTTTTCTGAAATATATACATGCATGTGTGTGTGTATTTATATATACATAATAAATATACACAGTAAACACGCATATATTATGTACACAAAAACTTTTATTTTGGATGCGATTAATCGCGATTAATCGTTTGACAGCACTAAATTAAATTAAATTAAAATAATATAATATAATATAATATAATATATAATATAGATGATAAAAAATCATCTTCCTGTGTTTTCCAGCAGAAAGAAATTCTTATAAAAATATGTCTGACACTGATGGCTATTGCAATCCACATGGACTGTTATTTTTATGAATGCCTCAAAGCTGCATCATTCTCCATCTTACAATTAAATGATCCATTGGCTGTGGAACAACATAAGGATGAGTGAATGATGACGGTCTTTCATTTTTGGGTGAACTACCACTTTAATCTTTAAACAAGCATGTGTTGTAAACATGCGCTGTACTCGTAACTGAAATGAATGAATGAAATCTTTCACCTGGATTTTTAGCAGATGCTGAGGCTTGCCTCTCCTCCTCAGCGGGGAGGATATGGACAGCAGTCCTCCTTGGTCAATGTGAAAGCTCCTGTCCTCATTTCCCGAGACAATATGGAATGAGAACGGAGGGCCGTTCTGAGGCGTATCTCTGTCTGTTACCAGCAGCTGCAGAATTCCACTGCCCACAGCCTCCCCTTCCTGTGTCCAGAAAACACCATTAATCAAGCCACACATGCTTGGAAAATACCGACTTTTAGAAAAGTTGTAGCTGTCCTTTCTCGAAAATAGATGAACAATTAACATAAATGTGTTCTTTATTTTTATCGGGACGCAGGTGATTCTGGAGTTCACTCCTCTGAGTTTTATTGTATTCTACTGCTCTGGCAACAGAATGTATCATGGTGAACAGAGAGAAATTGCTGGAAAAGAATAAAAATAATCAATCCGCCCTGATGTTTCTTGCTGTTTTACTAATCGATAGCGAATTTCTGTCACGGGACTCGTTTTCAATGTCAGATTCTTCTGTGCAAACAAATCTAAGCTTGAAGAAACAGCCCAATTCTGTCGAAATGAAAACACAGCAAGAACAGATGGTGATTTTTATCACTCAGTCTGCATTTGTGCTACCGATTGGACCGACATGTGCTCCTCGTCTTCCTTCAAGCTGGCACAACTGGAACAGGTAATTGAAACGGAGCGCTCGGCTGGCAGAGATGAGCCTAATTGTTACTGACCACCTACATGGTGGCAAATAGCCGCCGCACTCTGAAGACACAGATACCTTGGGTGGGGGTAAATGGGGTGTGAAAAATATTTCCAAGTCAGCAAAGTTGACCCTATAATTAGAAGCAATGGATCTGGCTGACTCCGAAAGGGTAAACCGAGTCCGAACACTGTTGCAGAAAAAAATGACTATATTATACATGGCTGATTGGCTCTTTAGCCTGAACTCTTGGCTTCCCCTGTGCTCATGTGCAGCTTAGAGCACAAATGTGATGACAACCCTGTCCGGTTTTTGCACCTTTGATTTCTCACAATCCTATGCTTCAATGCATTGAAGAACAAAAATGGTGTAGAAACAATCAGAAATTGCTACACTGCTAAAAAAAAAAAAAAAAGTGTAGCACTTTACGCGAAACCTTTGTGTAATGCATTATAAAGGTATTATAAATGTACATTGTAATGCATTATATCTTTTCATAAATAAATGTAACCAAAAGGATAATCCATTATATTAGAAAAATCCATAATATTTGAAGGTTTGTTTGTAATGCGTTTTAATGCATTATGCTTTCTAAAGGTGTAACAGTGAATAGAAAGGTATTATAATGTATTATAACTGGGGTTACAATTATTCATGAGATCATACAATGTATTTTAAGGTGCATTACAAGACATAATTAATGCATTAAAATTATTTTATAGTGCATTATATATAAAGGCTTTAAGTAAAGTGTTACTAAAAGTGTTTTTAAGTTGTGTTAACAAAAGTGTTAACAAAGACTATTGGTTTACAGGAAAACACTACACTGAAAAAAAAGTGGCTGGAAACAATTTATTTTAGCTACATTTAAATTTCAACAAATGTTGAAAGTTAGTCAGCTAAATTTGTTTATTTAAATGTAGCTAAAATAAATTGATTGCAACTACTTAACTTAAAAATATGTAGTAACTTCAATGAATCATTTTTTTTTTCAGTGTATTTCATTTTTTTCTTCTTCAAAATTTCATGTTTAATTCAATGTGTTACTAGCATTTTCTTCAACATACAATCTAATTAATTGTGAAATTTAAATTCCGAGTGAAAATTGTTTGGTTGAACCTCGCGTCTGATGGAGCGGCAAGAAGTAAATATCCATTTTTAACATATTCTTTCATTTCTACCATGAAACAACCATTTTAATCATGAAATGTTTGCTTGGTTATCTGTAGAGCTCATTTGAATTTCTTAGATCGTTAGGCGTGATATTGTGGCGCCGTCTGAAGCTGTCTGTCTGAAGTAAATAAAATCATTGACTAACCGGGCAGTGAGGCAAAAAGGTAGATTTTGGCCGTGTGTTTTTACCTGAAGGACGAGGCTGTGATTGATCTGCGAGAACATCGGTGGGCTGTCGTTGACGTCAGATACGGTCACTGTCACCTGGACGGCTGAGGATAAAGGGGGATCGCCTTCATCGGCAGCTTGCACGGTTAATGAGTAGTGCGTTATCTGAAAGGTGGGGGGCTGTGTCAGTGGGATTATGAAGATATGAACATCACGGCACCGATGTTCAATAACAGCAGTCAAATATGCACAGTAGTGATTAAAATGTTCATCTGTGATCACAGGATTCAACAGATACAACTAAATCTCTGATAAAACAAATGAGTCTGTGCTCTGGGCAGCAATTCAGGAGTGAAAGTGAAACCCACCTCTTCCCTGTCCAGCGTGGAGCGCACCGTTACGTGGCCGGTGCGAGGGTCGATGCTGAACTGCTGCTGTGGATCACCGCTCACAATAGAGTAGATGATGAAGTTATTTGGAGGCCCATCAAGGTCGACGGCTCTTACCTGAGACAGATGCACAGTTAGGAAAGGAAGATGAGCACACCTGAGAGGTATTAAACAAAGCTTCAAAGCTCTGGATTACTGCAGATTCGTCTAATCTAGCGGCCTGCATCAGACACGGCTAATGTCACAACGAATCGCTGAGCAGACTGTGAGTGCTCATATACAATCACCATTAGCTGATTGCTCCATTCAAACTGTTTATCTGATTGCTTAACTGACAGATGCAGTAAATCATTCACTCAACAGCTGCCACAATAGCTTGCCTCAATCCCGTCACCAGACTGACAACAGTTGGCTTTATTTTGCTTCATAGAAAGCATTGTAGAAAAAGTCTGAGACACCTTACATATGAAGTCAAAGGCAATATGATAACAATCCAGAAAAAGTAAAAATAATTTTGTCATAATCAGTATTTTTTGTTGTTTTCCATTAAAAGTCTATCTTTAATTAAAAGTCTATCTTTACTTTAACAAAGGAAAACTATTAAAATACTTTGTTAATTGCAATAAAGCTGAAATCAAATAATGGATATTAAATGAATTTTTAAAAATGTACGAAAATTAGAAATGTTGCTCTAGCAGAACTGAAATAATTTGAAGCACTAAAATTGTTCAAACTAAAAATAAATTAAAGCTAAATAGAAATATTAAAAAATAAATAAATATAAAAAAATGGCAAAACCACATAATAAAATGATTAAAATTTAATATTAAAATTACAACTAAAATATAAAAATAACTAAGAAAAAATACTAATAAATAGTATCATTGTATATAAATAATACTAAAATAACATTGTATTTGTTTGTTTGTTTACAAATTGTGTATAGAATATTACAACCTGTTTTCATAAAAATTACATTTTTCTAATGTCTGATTTCCCGAGATTTTTCCCATAAACTAACTAACTAACTAACTAACTAACTAACTAACTAACTATCTATCTATCTATCTATCTATCTATCAGGGTTTATGCTTTAAACAAGAAAAAATATAATCTTCTGATGTGGTAAGAAAAATGCACTTAATTCAAGATAATAATATTCTCTTAATATCTGTATATTGTTATTGCATATTAATATCTTTATATACAATTTTGATTTGTTTTGTTTTTTTGTATTAAAAAAACTAATATTATATTGGCTGTTTATTAATACTTGCAAAGCACTTATTCTGAATGTCCATATTCTAGATCCCTTATACCCAATACCTAAACTTAACAACTATATTACTAACGAATAATAAGCAGTAATTAGGCATTAATTGAGGCAAACGTCATAGTTAATAGTTAGTTTTAGTGAAAATTGGAGCCTAAAGTAAAGCGTGATTGAAAAGTTTTATCATTGGATGTTCAGTGAGAGTTAAGGGAATGCGTGATACCTGCAGAACCATGTCCCCAGGGGAAATGTCCTCTGCAATCACAGCACTGTAGCTACTGCGGTTAAAGACAGGTGGGTTGTCGTTGACGTCTGTGATATTGATGATAACCGTGGCAATGTCACTGAGCGACGGTTTGCCCCTTGCTCCCTCCACTGACAGGTAATACTCGCGGCAGAGCTCGAAATCCAGCGCGGAGTTCACCGCCAGCAAACCTGTGGCACAAAACAACAAAATCACATCCAGGCCTGGGCCATCTCTTTATCAGTTTCCAGCTGGTTCAAAGTAATGGCAAAAATGTCAAAGAAAAGTAAAGTTTGTTCTGGAAAAAAAGGGAAAGTTTGGATTAAAAATACTAAATAGTGTCTTAAAATACAAAATACAATGCTGGCAGGACACGAAATCTCTTGGGTTGGATGAGTTTGTTTTGCACTTCCCCAGTGACAGAAGCACGTTACCAGCTGGTCTGGGAGTTTTGGTGAAGAGAAACCTGTTTCTAATGTGAAGTGTGATAATGAAAGATTTATTGTTCAAAGTTTATGCTCATCTGATTTAGATTTATCCAAACTAAACAGTATTTATTGCGAGCCTAACATACTGTATGCTCAGTACAGAATAGTGCTGACAGAAACTTGATGAGGTTTTAAAGCATTTCAATGTAACACCAGCTGATTTTCTTTTATTGTTGCATCAGCTGACCACATAGAAAACTCATATTCCAACATGACTAATAACTCTCATGTACTTCCCAGTGGAGTTGAACTGAATGCATGATATATTTGCTCCGGGTGTGTGTTCACGGTGTGTGTGTGTGTGTGTGTGTTCACTGCTGTGTGTGTGCACTTAGGATGGGTTAAATGCAGAGCACTAATTCCTAGTATGGGTAACCATACTTGGCCACGTCACATCACTATTTTATGCAATGTTGCCTTTTCTGTTTTTGCAAAGCAGTTGATTCCTACAAGAACCTGATTTATCTAAAGCATTTGAAAAGCCGGTGGGATTTGCTCTGTGCATTATGGGTAGACGCTGCTATTTTCTGTCTTATTCTCAAGCAGAAGAGAAAGTTTACTACTGGACCTTTTGCTGGTCGTTCTGCTCACATTATTAGAGTAAAACGAGACAGCACTGAAGCACTGGCATTTTTTGCTTAGCTCAAGAATCCAGTTTGCAACAAGTGCAAAATTGCTTTATATAATGTTTCTTTTTATTGATTTTAAAGATCAAGGGCTATGTTGTGTCACTTAATGGCTTTCTTAGAGATCCTCCACCGTATTATTAACAGGGCTGTGTTTGTCCTTGGCTCACATTCTGTCAATATAGGCGTGTTTGTGCTTGTGTTTGAACAGAGAGCTTGTGTTCAATGCAAGAGTGGACAGCAATAGCAATCCTGGTCTAAGCAAAAGGAGCACTTGTCAATGTCAAGTGTGATGAAGATGCATCAGTGTGTTCTCTGCTTTGGCTCGCTAGGGCCAAATGTGTATTTGTAGATCCTTTAATTGTAAGATGGAGAATGATGCAGCTTTGAGGCATTCATAAAAATAACAGTCCATGTGGATTGCAATAGCCATCAGTGTCAGACATCAGTTTATGCCTGGTCTTATTTCTATTTTTCATTTGCTTTGAATGACAGAAATAATTTTAGAGCATTCTGTCTGAGCAGAGATCAAAGCGTGAGAGATGCAATGTGACACTGAACCGTGGGTAATAAGATGTAAAACTGTGACATCTACTGGAAGATGCAAAAACTGGAAAAATTACATTATTTTATGAGGGGTTATATGATTCATGGGTTACAATTTATTTCGATGATCCACTTTAGACATTCTAATAACTATTAGTAACTTTGCAACTACAGTACATGTCAACTAACGCTCATTAGAGTATTAGCAGACTGTTAGGTTAGGGATAGTAGAATAATTTGCTGCTAGTTGACATGTAGTTGCAAAGTTACTGTTCCAGTTTCATGAGTTCCTGTAATGACAAAATCATGTGCTTTATCATGTCAGAATGTCTAAAAACAGTTATGAATCTATAGCATATAATAGCTCCTATTATCCTCTAATGTTGATGTCACACATACAGTATGAATGTTTTATTGACAATCAAGGATTATGTCCCTTCAGCTCACAATGACAAGTACTGTGTTGAGTAGCTTTGCCTGTTTTCATAATTATTGTGAGCGTGGACAGCTTTACTTGACTGATGATCAACACCCAGATCACAAAAGTACAACCTGCTGAACAGACTGTACATCTATCCCTCACTGCCTCATCGTCATTCACCAACAAAAAGTTCATCTCTCCCTCATTGCCTCATTGTCCCTCATAATTAAATAATGCAGTTAATTAGCCGACAGTAACCTGCAAAACAACTCTCTTGCACAAAATTAACCCTTGTGGACCTTCCCGTTTTAATGAACAAGCGCAAACTTGCCAGTTCAACCATTACCTAAAGTAAGCAGCTATATTTTCATTTTTAGATGTTATTCTTCTTTATTTCAGAGTCATTTTAAAAGTGCAGTAGCAAACTGATATTTTAAACTCTTTCCTGAGGCTATTTGCAGTGATACAGCCATTAGATATCTGTGTATTTCTGTGACATTTCATTAAGCCCCCCTGATTTAAGAGTCCTTTTGAAATGTCAGAGGTGTTATGTTGTTAATCAAATTATGATCACTTTTTCACCAGAGTAGGTCAGGTGATTGTCTAATGTGGTCATATTTTTTATTTCTGTAATTCATGGCTACATCATGTAAATCATCTTACTCATGAATCCATCAATGTTACTGGTTCTTATTGCACTTAATTAGGTTTAAGAGATTTTTTAATCCTACAATTATTCAGTTTCACCTTGCAGAGAAAAAGGCTAAATAATATAGAGCAAGTGGTTTAGTGTATGATTGATGAATTTCAATTATTTCATGACATGCAAAAAATATAGTACTTCACTAAAAGAATCCACTGAAAGAAAATATTGCTGACATGATAACACTAGAAAAACTGCTGTTGAACGACAATAAATCATCCATTTTCTTTACTTTCTTATACCATATAAAGGCTTGTCTAGATAGCACTACACTCTAAGCAAAAATAAATAGTCCAAAATCGAATGCATACCCAGCAGACCTGAGTTATGTGCTGAGACTATAAGCAACTACACAGTGGACTTACAGCTTTTGGATTGAAATGATCACTAAATAGCCAATTGATTTGTGCAGCTAGCAGAACTCAAAGTAGCGTATTGTTTGACAGCTAATAAAGAGTTTGGCTCAATCTCTCACAAAAGTCCTACAGCACGAAGGCTCTGAGGATTCGCGATAAGAGGACATGAGCGAGAGAGAGAGAGAGAGAGAGAGAGGAGAGACTAAGAGGAATGAACAGATGGGAATAAACAAGCTGACAAGTGCCTGTGTGGATTCAGAACATGTCAGCACAGGTTCTTCTGTTTAACATTTACTCATGCTGAAGAAAATTCCAGCTTCACACAATAGGAATAAGCCACAGAGGATAAATGGCAGCATGCTAATATATCATGTCTTCTTTCTGCAAGTAATGATGAGTAATGTTCTGCACATAGATCACAAACATATTCAGCCTCAAAGTCAGTGTAATTGTTCAAGTTACATGGGCTGCAGTCAAATCTTTTCATATCAGATTTTTTCTTTTCATATCAGATTTTTTCATTAAAGGGTTCCTAAAAAAGTTTGAAGGGGTCATATGATGCGATTTCAATTTTTCCTTTCTCTTTGGAGTGTTACAAGCTCTTGGTGCATAAAGAAGATCTGTAAAGTTGCAAAGACTAAAGTCTCAAATCCAAAGAGATAAAAGTTAAGAGTCAACCACACCTACCTAAAACGGCTCGTTCTAACACGCCCCCACATGTCTACGTCACTATCTGGGAAGATTTGCATAACGCCGCCCAAATGTTCACGCAAAGAAAGAAGGCGTAACTTTTATTCTCGCTGTAGTATTGTTGTTGCCGCCATGTCCTGAAGGCACTGTGTTTCGTTGTGAAAGCGAAAATATTTTGTTTGGCCTTTCAAACGAGGACACAACTAGAAATCAGTGGTTAAAACTCCTAATTTGCTGCTTAGTAAGCTAGTTGTTAAGTTTAGTATTAAGGGATATAAAATATGGTCATGCAAAATAAGGCATTTGCTTTATACGTACTAATAAACAGCCAAAATATTAGTAATATGCATGCTAGTTAATAGTGAGAATTGGTCCTTAAAATAAAGTGTTACCGCATAATTATTTAATTGGTTACTGTTGATTTGATTACACTTTATTTTGATAGTCTACTTTAGACATTCTACTAACTATAAGTAACTTTGCAACATACATATCAACTAACTCTCATTAATTTGCAACTACATGTCAACTAACACTCATTTCAGTATTAGTAGACTGTTAGGTTAGGGTTGGTAGAATAAGTTGACGTACTTGCAAAGTTACTTATAGTCATAAAGTGTTAGCAGATATTAAGCAGACAGTTTACTAATACTCTAATGACTGTTAGTTGACATCTAGTTGCTTATAGTTAGCGAAGTGGACTATCAAAATAAAGTGTTAGCATTGATTGATGGTCACACTGCAAGATAAACACATTCTGTTCTTTGACTTTGCACATTTGCGTAATACTTGTGCTTAGAGAGGATAATGTCATTAATTCACTTGAAGACATATTATATAAAAGGCAAAGTAGTTCAAATTCACATGAATCCCTGTGACGGTAGTCAGTATGTGTACATGTTCACACACATCTCCAGGTGTGGTCTGTCCCTCCCTAATCATGTTTCTCTGCCACAACCTTCATTCCCACATCAAACGCTGCATACCTTTAGGATTTCAACCAGCGTGCAATGGGTCAAGGAAAAAACCTGGGGGCTTTGAATGCTTTCTGAGCGGATAAGCCGAAAATAGTCTGTGTTTTTTGCTTTAAAGCAGCCATTCGTGACAAGAGAAGGGTTATCATTTTCATCTGTGATAGTAACCTCAACTAGTACTGAAGAGGATAGTTTGACAGCGTCGCCATGATCAGTGGCCACCACATAGAACCTATAAAGCTGTTTGGTCTCAGAATCAGCCCTCTTTAAGGTAGTAATCCAGCCAGTTTGCGAATCAATGGTAAACATGTCGCCAATATCATCTGACTCCGGCACAAGTGTATATGAGACTTCTCCATTGACGTTTGTATCTACATCATTAGCTGTCACTTGAATGACCGTGGTGCCAGGGGGCAAATTCTCAGCCAGGAAGGCCTCGTAGGGGTCAGCCTCAAACATAGGTTGATTGTCATTAACATCTTGAACCTCTATGTGAACAGATACAAGAGATGCCACATCGGTGCCATTGTTACTTCCTTGAGCGATCACATCGATCTTGTACACCTTGGTTTTTTCGTGGTCAATGTTCTTCTGCATAACAAGAGTACCGCTGTCTTTGTCGACAGCAAAATCATGTTCTTTGTTGCTGTCTATAGTGTTGCCATTCACCAAGCTGTATATCAGTGGCATGTCAGCGTCTGCCTTGACTGTCCCTATCTCATATCCGACAGGGAGGTCCTCAGATGCTGAGAACGAGTACAATGGCTCGGTAAACTGGGGCAGAGTGACCTCCGGTGGGACCACTTTGACCTGTACTGGCACAGAGGAGTTGTAAAAAGGTATGCCTCCATCTCTGGCCTTAACTTTGAAGCTGAAAATCTTATTCTCCGAACCAACCAGACTCTCTTTGACCCTGACCACTCCGGTAAAAGGGTTGACCTCAATAATATCTTCTATAACCTCTTCTGCCTCTTCTACTGTGTAAGTGACGTCAGCGTTTTTACCTTCATCTGCGTCATAAGCCATTATCTGTATAACCGGTGAGCCTTTGTTCACTGTGGATTGAATGGAAATCTGATACTCTGAGGCTTTAAACTGAGGGGCGTTATCGTTTTCATCTGTTAGAATAATCTTTACAGTGCAAAACCCCACTCTTCCTCCTCCGTCTTTAGCCATGACCTTAATCGCGATCACGCGTTGCGATGGATTTTCTCTGTCCAAAGACTGAGAAGTCACAATTTGTCCGTCTTCGTCGATAGAGAACTTCTCATCGGCAAGCTTGTTAATGATGGTGTAATCAACACTGCCGTATGGACCATCGTCCGGGTCAATAGCAGACAATCGGATCACACGAGTTCCCACTTCTGCATTCTCTGCCAGATCTGTTTCGTAAATGTTCTGGCTAAAATAGGGGCTGTGCTTGTTGCCGTTTGTCATGTCAATGTTAACAGGGGCAGTCTTCTGAAACACACCGTCGGAAACCGCAACGGTGAGGTTATAAAACGGATCCAGGTTTCTTTTGCACACATTCGAGAACGAGATAAGTCCGGAGGATTCATTAATAGAGAAATATCTCCCTTCATTGCCTGACAGGATCTTATATTGGAGGTCATCCTTACTATCGGGGTCTGAAGCCTGAACTTTGATAACGATGTGGCCACAAGTGGCCTTTTCATCAAGAGAGGCCCGATAAGATGGCTCACTAAAATCTGGAGGGTTATCATTAACATCTATGACGTTCACGATGATTTGAGCCTCATCGCTGAGAGGTGGTGTGCCTTTATCTGTGGCTTTAACTTTCAGAGTGAACTGTTGCGAGGTTTCATAGTCCAATATTTGCGATGTCGCCAAAATTCCACTTAGTGTGTCGATTTCAAAAAAATCATTTTCTTTGTCAACCAGCTGGTAAGTCATATCTGAATTCCTGCCTGAATCTCTATCAACAGCCGAGACTTGTAAAACAGATGTGCCTATTGGAAGGCCTTCAGACACATCTGCAACATAAGACAGACTCTGAAAGACAGGGGCATTGTCATTTATATCTTCCACATCAATCTCTACTTTGGCTTCGGTAAAGATGCCAGTCACCGAATCCGTGGCACGAACAGTCAAAATATGCTTTGTTTGAGTCTCAAAGTCTAGGAAATCAGTGACACTTAAGACCCCTGTTTTGAAATCGATGTTAAAGAACCTGGAGGCGTTGTCTTCCTCTAGATTGTAGATAAGGCGGTATCCTTCAGGATTTCTTGCTTGCACATGCAGGATCGTTGTAAATGGCTTAATATTCTCAGGTAATTTCAATGGGTAGTACAGGCTTTGAAATATCGGATGAGAACGATTTTGCACTTGGACGTACAGCGTCCCGGCGGCTGACAGGCTCGGCTCACCCTCATCTGACGCCAGTACAGTGAGAACATATTTATTCACAGACTCAAAATCTAAAGGTCTTAGTAACGACACGTCTCCAAGATAACGATCGATTCTGAAGAGACTGAAATCATCCTCCAGTGAAAATAGTATGGATCCATTTTCACCGGAGTCATTGTCGGTTGCTAGCACTTGAAAGAGAACATCCCCTGGTTCGGTTTCATCCGATATCATCAGCGAATGAGGCAAATTTGATATTTCTGGGGCATTGTCATTGATATCATCTATATAGACCTTAACATGAGTGACATCCACACGTGGAGGATGCCTCATGTCTCGGACCTCCACAGCGACATCGTACTCATTCCGTTCCTCCCGGTCAAACGGAACGCCGGTGGTCTGCAGGATTCCAGACGATGGAATCGCTGCAAACTTCCCATGTGGGTTCAAAACGGTGTACTGCAAGGGCTCGTTCAGGTAGCTACCTGTTGCTCTCAGAACAGCTAAAATTTTAATAGACGTACTGTTCTCCAGTACAGTGGCCACATGCATCCTGTCCTCGAAATTCAGACTAGTCTTTGTTGCATTGGTGATATTTAATCTCACTAGGGTAGTGTCTTTATATAACCCATCTGAGGCAGTGATCTTTAACTCATAATGGGACTCTAGTTCAGACGAATCATTCACCGAGATGTTTCCAGTGGACTGGTCTATTTTAAAAGCATTTTTAATAGTGCTCTCTGAAATCATGTAGGTGACTGCTGAATCTGCATCATGAGCGGTCACTTGAATCACATCCATGTCTTCAAAAACCGGTAAGGTGAGGGCAGTTTCATATACAGGTAAAGCAAATTTGGGAGGACAATCATTAATGTCCAGGACACGAATGTTTACTCTGCATGGCTTGGAAGCACTTAGCGATGGCTCACCAGAATCCCACACCTGAACGCTGAAGAAAAATTCAGGTGTTGCCTCAAAGTCAACTGTAGACTTTAAGAAGATGGTACCCATGCTTGGGTCTATTCTAAACACTTTCTGAGCAGCAGGCTCAAGTATATGGAAGATCAGAAGAGCGTTTGTGTCTTTGTCGGCATCTGACGCCTTAATCACTAACGGCGTGTTGTTCTCCCCAGTTACCATGCTGTTGATGGGCGCAGACTCACTAATTTGCCCATAATAAGTGTCCTGATGGAAAACAGGGGCGTTGTCATTTTTATCTATCACATAAATGTAAACCACTGCATCAGATGAGACTCCCGCTGTATTTGTAGCTCTTATTGTCAGACGGTAGGAAGGGTGTTGCTCAAAATCGAGTGCGTTTCCGACAGACAAGAGTCCAGAGTTTATGTTGATGTGGAACGTCCCATTGGGGTCGCCGTCACTGATCCTGTACAGCACTGAAGATGGACAGCTGGCGGAGACAGACAGTGCAGGGGAGCCAGGAGGCACAGCCTCACTTATCTCAGTGATGTATTCTTCGGAGAAGAACCTGGGTGGTGTGAATTCAGACAGCTTTACGGTGATGGTAACGGGGCAAAGGGCATTGCGCTGGGGAAAGCCCTGATCTGTGGCTTTTACTGTGAGGTGATACTGCTCCTGCGGAAGTTTGTCTAATGCATCAGACACACGAATGCTTCCTGTCTCCTGGTCGATTTCAAAGGCACCATCTACATTCCCACCTGGACAAAAAAGAGAATTTTGTGTTAAATGTCAAAAACAGATTAAACATGATTATCATTTTTTAATTGCCACCCAAGAGTATTTATAAATGCCACATTAAAATTAAGTATTAAGGCAAGACTTGTATCTGTGCTTTCCATGAACACAAAAGTTGTTAAAAAGCAAAGGTAACATAGTGCTCCAGGCAAATGTCTTACCGGAGTGAAAGGAATAAACAATCTCCGCATTGCTCCCTGTGTCCTTATCCAGGGCTTTGACTCGTAGCACTTCTGTGCCAGTGAGTGCCATATTACTTATGGTGCCCTCATAATGAGTACTCAGAAAAGATGGGTTGTGGTCATTACAGTCTTCTACATGCACAACAACCTTCGCAAAGTTCTTTTTTATTGGGATCTTCTCATCTCGTACCTGGAATGATAAAGTACACGGGTTAATGTGTGTGGCGCAAGGGTCAGGAAGATAACTTTTGACCACTTTTGAAGGTTTTTTTTCTCTTTTAGGTGCTTAATTGAGGTCAAGAATGTTTCGGGAATGTGGATTTATGGTCTTCCCGGTGCTCTGACCCCATCTATATCATTATGTGAGGGACTCGAGATGATTAAATTAATTCTAATATCATTCAACTGGAAAAATGACCAAATGTTTTCATGCCCATTTAATCAAAGCTTGTCCATAATTGCAACAGATTGCACTGGCTACTATTTACATAAGACCTTGAGATGAGAGTCTAGATGAGTCAAGTCAAGTGTCTCTTTACCATCACAATCAGAGTATGAGTGGAGATGGTCTCGTAGTCTAGCTCCTCTTTCATGACAAGCACACCGCTCCTTTGGTCCAGGTGAAAGTACTTGAGGCTGTCTGGGTTAAGGCTGCTGTGGATGGAGTAAAAGAGTCCACTGTTGGCATCTGCATCGTGGGCACTGATGTGAAGGATCTCCTTCCATGGAGATGTGTCCTCTGGCACTCTCACCTCATAGAGGCTCTTCAAGAACATGGGCCGATGCTCATTTATATCCACTACTTGAATGTAAGCCTAAGAGAAGAAAGACAAACCACTACTCTCTCAGCTGTCCATTGGCATAAAGTGAGACATATTAATACGCTGACCTGATAACAATGGCAAATCTTTCATCTCGCATTCTATTTGCACGCTATTAATTTATTGACTCTGCATTCATTGTGTGATGGATTTGGCATGTGTGTTCATACCTGCGTGGTTATGGCCTGAAATCCATCTGAGACTCTGACTGTTAAGTTGTAATGAGATTTTCTGCCTGCATCCAGACGTCTAGCTTTCACAATACTCCCTGTGTTCTTCTCAATGTAGAAGTCCTGCTTTTCATCACCACCTGAGATATAACATTACCTATTGGTTAGATCAGTGGTTCTCAACCCATCGGTCTGAGGTTTGTTCTGAACTAACCACATAAATGCAACCACAAAAAAAGGCTTGTCAACTTTAAAAGGGAGAAAAAAAACACTTCCCATGTATTATACTCATCAAAGGGCATGTATCCAATCAAACTTTATAGTGCATATTCATTTGTTGCTTCTCTAGCTGGTCTATTAATCATTGTTCATGTGTTTTAATTAATATTCCAGTAATATTATTTAAATGTATGCATTTCAATATTACATAATTACAACAGTCCATAAAAATAATAACTTATTACAATGTTTGTATACAGACTAGTGCTTTTAATTATAAATGTATGTAACCACGTAGCTTCATTTCGGTTTATATGCATGCTTTTTGCAGTACTGACTGCTAAGATTGATATTAATTAATATTATAATTCTATATTATATTAATATGATGAAGATTAATGCATTATAATGTTTGATTTTAAGAGAATTGTTGTTTACTTTTGTACTGTTCTTTTGTTGTTTTAGGTCAACACTCAGTGTCCAATGTAAAATCTGCTGCGTTAGAAAATAACATGTTTCACACATCTGATGGTTTGCCATCAGCACCTCTGAGTGAACCTTTGTGGGTGAACCCGTATGCATTACTTCAGGGCTGAGTAACATGAAGTGTTGTGACAGTTAGATTCAGGTGAACTGTAATAAATGTACAATCCTCTAAATCTTGCATGAGCAAAAGAAGTACACGAGTAGCAACAAAAAAATGCCTTGATGAAAAGCACCAGCATACTGTAGATTTCAGAGTATGGGTACCAATCACGCAATTTCTCTCTAACACCCACATGGGACTTTGTTGTTATGCCCATCTTGGTACAATAATGACAGAAAACAAGGGCACTCCTGTGACACTATTCATCAGATCAGCACTATTGTTTGAGGGGAAATATTTGGCACATGCATAAAAAGACCAGACGTCTTACTCAGTAGGGGTAAATTCATGCTTGCTTTAACAGATGGTGTTTATTAAAAATTCCACCTATTGCAGGCCCATTTTCCGCTCCTGATTTAATATAACTATATTTTCAGGTGTCTATTCACTGTGTTTATTTCTAAACTTTACAAAGCAGTCTTCAAATGGACCTATCTCTTTGCTGAAGATCAACCATATCTAATACTGGCCTTGATGGAGGTTTTGAGATATATTCTGAACAAAAGCTGTCTGATGATCTTTTTTAATGAATACATAATTGGCTTCTCATGGGCTGCTACAGTGAAACAAAGCCTTCAAATTAAATGATGAAAAGTCAGGGTTAGGGTTAAAGTACTAGAGATGCAATCATTCAACTTCTAACCAACATTGCACTAAGATTCAGACCTCTTATATTCTCATCAAATGTGAATATTTTTTCTGCTGTTTATGTAAATTATTGCTTTTAATATAAATGATCTTTTTAAGTCCATCATAAAACCATTATAGATTATTTAATGCTTTTATGAACAAATCAACTATGCACAGTTAATTCTGCCATGCAAAGTAATAATCCATAACTTACTACAATATCTGCTTATTTTTGTCATTGGTTTTCTTCCTAATTAAATAAGTGCAGGGTTTACAGACTAGCACTTTTAATTATACATTTATGCAATCACATCACTTCTAACTGTCTAGCTTACAGAATCAAATTAAAAATCATAATTTAAAGCACAAAGTGAAACCACATATATGACCTAACATTAATAAATCACAAAATTATGCATGACAAATTCAGAGCTATGTGTAAGTTATCTGAAATGTATGACTCTGGGTCAAAAGATCAAAGAGTCTTTTTCATCAGATTGACCAGTCTTCTGGTTAAAATATAATGTGTTCGTATCTAAGAGTAAGATAACGAATGTAAATTAATGCAGGCCTCGCTGTCATCATATCAGAATCACGCTGAGATAAAACAAGATCTGTAGCCAACATGTGAATTCTCTTCCATGCCATTCATTTTCCCTCCCTACTACAAATGCTTGTGATTTATTTCCACTGAAGCTCATTCCTCTCGGAGTGAGTCTGCAGGGCTGAAGGTAAGAATGCGGGAGCAGAGTGAAGGTCAGGTTCAGCCCTTAACTGCAGGCGAAATGTGCTGCTTGCACGGCTACAGAGAGACCGATGGCAGAGCTGTGAGGAAGGCAGTTCCTCTGGTGCTCTGGCTTGTCATCTGAAGAAATGTGTCACTGCTAAGATCAGCCTCCTGGCACAGATCTCATCACAGAGAGGGACGCTAAAGCATCACAGTGACACCAGACCCCCTACATGCTGTACTGTACCATGATAGTCAACATCCTTACTGTTTGACTCTAATACAATTAAGTTTGATAAGTGATAGAGAGGTGCTTACCTATAATGTCAAACAAGAGAAGGTTCTGCGGGATCTCCGTTCGGATGATTCCCACCATGTCAGTGACAGGATCGGTCTCCATCACCACATAGTTAAAGGGGGGCTCATCAAAAGCCAGCACATCGGAGCTGGGCTCAGGTTGGGGCAGCCATTCAACATGCAAACGGGCCTTAGACATTCTTGGAGGGTTGCCTTGGTCTGTTGCTTGAATCTATGATAGTGAAGGAGAAAACAAAAGGTGAAAATGTGTATCTTTTTTCTGTTTGTGTAATTGGAATATATCACATTATATTTGTTGGCATAAATTTTGTTAATTCTTGTAGAATGTTTTAGGATTATAACAACTCGTTTTCAGAATATGTTGCTTAAAATTGCTGTAGATTCATATGCATTATTCTTGAAACATGACTTTTGAATTGTGAATTATTTACACTACTGGTCAAATTAGATTTCACCGGAGTCATTGTCGGTTGCTAGCACTTGAAAGAGAACATCCACTGGTTCGGTTTCATCCGATATCATCAGCGAATGAGGCAAATTTGATATTTCTTAGATTATTTCTTAAAATAATTAGGATTTTTAAATATTTTTTAAAGAAGTGCTTACCAATGCTGTTTATTTGATTAAAAATACAGTAAATACAATAGAATTGTGAAATATTATTACAATTTACAATAACTGTTTTCTACGTGAATATATTTTAAAATGTAATTTATTCATGTGATGTAAAGCTGAATTTTCAGCATCATTACTCCAGTCTTCAGTGTCACATAATCTTTCAGAAATTATTCTACAAAAAAATATTAAGCAGAACAACTATTTTCAACTTTACTAATAATAAGAAATAAATTCTTGAACAGCAAATCAGTCTATTAGAATGATTTCTGAAGGATTATGTGACACTGAGACTGGAGTAATGATACTGAAAATTCAGCTTTCTCAATTGAAAAGTCATATTTCAAGAATGATGCATATTAATTTTATGCAATAAAGCCTGAAAACAATTTGTTATAACACTACTAAAAATTTTAAAAAAGTAATTACAAAAAATTATACGAACAAATATCACAATATCTTCCATAAAAATTTGGTGCTGCATTACAGTAATAAATAATCTTTAAAATACATTCAAATAGAAAACAGTTCCTTTAAATTGCAATAATAGTTCACAAGTTCACTATATTTTTTATCAAATAAATGCAGCCTTAGTGAGCAGCAGAGACTTAAAAAATCTTAAATATTCCAAACTTTTGACCTGTAGCATACTTCTTTAAAAAATTACACCTCATGTTTGGTTTCGCCCCAAAACTGATAGTACTGTGACTCGCATGAGTAAATAATGCTATGACACAACTGAAATATTTCTTTCCTAATAACTTAGTGGAAAGAACTGTATAAATTAATTTTTAAAATACTGATTCTAAACCAAACTGTAACATTGTGAATCACACTGATTCCTTGTCAATCTAAAAGTCCACAGCCCTAGTTTGTATCCGTACCGTCAGAATACTGTAGTTGCCCCGGACATACTCTCCTCTAGCTGTCACCACCCCGGTCTCAGGATGAATATCAAACTGATCCTCACTACTGTCTTCCAGACTGTACTTGATCATGCCGTTGGGCCCCACATCGTCATCACGAGCCACCATCCTGTAGATCTCCTGAGGCTCAGCCGTGCTCTGCCGCTCAGGGAGTTTTACCTGGAAAAGCTTATGGCTGAACTGAGGGCTGTTATCATTCTCATCCAGGACTTCAATGACTACGGTTGCAGTCGAGCTTAATGGAGGGGCCCCTTTATCTGATACCATGACCTAAACAACGGCAGGTGAGGGAAACATCATGTGCACAAATCAAAAATGCATTTATCTTTAAATACATTTTTTGGTGTTCCTGTGGCTCAGTGGTAGAACATCATTTCAATTTCAAATCAAATGTAATTTTTTATGGGTGAAAAAAGGTTTTCAAAATCACCCCCTTTTATTATTACCAAGTATTAACCACACTACAAATATGCTTCATGTACTTCACCCAAAATGAAATGCGGTTACTTTTTATAAGACACATTTCAAGTGAATCTTCATGCATTTCTTTACCACACAACAACGGTGCCATATCAAACTGATCATGTTTGATTAGTGAACCAGATCAACCAGTTTGTTGAAAAGAAAAAAAAACTGACTCAAAAGAGTGATTCGCTCACAAATTGGACAGATCTGGTTCTCTGATTCAACACTGACTCAGTGATTTGGTCACAATGGATCTGAAGTTAACAGCACACTTGAGGAAATGATTATGAGTGAATCATTTTACATTTCCGTCTGTTCAGCACTCAAAACTTGGCTTGGCTTCAGACGACTTAAAATAAGTCATATATACATTTATCATGCTTTTTTTTGTCATTTTGGAGCTTATGGACACTGTGAATTGTTGTATAGCAAAGACGCACCTGAATATTATTCAAAATTTCTCCTTTATATGTAACTTACAACCATCCCTTTAAGACTATAATACATAACAAGACACTGGAAACACAAACCGCAACATGTTCTCAGCAATCAGCCAGAGAAATGCTCAGGCCTGAGGTTCATGACCTAGTAAACCGAAGGAAGCAAGTGAACCAACCTCAATGATATGCTCTGCTTTTTGTTCCCGGTCCAGGGGAGCAAGGGTGCTGATCACACCTAAACAAACACAGAGGAAGAACAGACAGGCTGATCAATGCCAACAGCTTCAGATGGATGGCACACCTGTTCATTCACCGCAGGCGCCCGTTTTACTTTCCCTTCCCACAGCTTTGTTTTTAAACCTTTTTTGTTTTGTTCCACTGTTTATACTAGGTCAACCTGTGGTATACAAGCCGTGGGAACAACGGTTAATATTCACGTCTGTGTCAGTGAAGATTTAGCCATCGCTGACGTAGACCAAAAGACCAGACTTCCCAGTTGCCAAGAAACTGACAGAAAATGAGCCACGGCTTAAGAGCCACTGAAGTGTTGTGAATTAGTACAAGAGGTTTTCAGACACCTTTTTAAACTGGGTGTTAGGGGCTTGGTTAAGTGTGCTCCATGGATCAACAGCTGATTTAAGGGCGGACAAAATGCACCAGTGACAGTGGTTTACCACCACTGCAATAAACACTTATGAGTGTCGTTTCAGTAGACGAGGGCTGGCAGGGACCCACAGTGTCTTGTGCAGCACTCAAAACAAACCCTGCTGGGCTTTTATGATGGCCTGTATTTAGGCAGGCAATTCTGAAAGTGTGGTTTTGGCATTAATGCTCACCTGTGGAAAGGTCGCTCTATCGTGCATGGGACAAAAGGCAAATGCATGGATTAAAAGCACATCTTTAGCACTTTCAGCATGCAAAAAAATTACAAAGCATCCCTTTTTGTCTCGATTCTTGTGTTTTAATCTCCCCTAGAGCATTTGGCTTTTGATAATGTAAACTCAGTTCCCAACCCACACAAGAAGTATTTGGCTTGCCTACGTACTCACTAGAAAGAGTTCATATTCGATAAATGCTATGGTTTAGTGGTGCTAAGCTGTTAAGGCGGTTAGCTTAGTCACAGTGTTCTTTCTAGTGATTAGTCATCTCAGTCCGTCCTGTCCTGACATGAAGCGCCAAAAAAACTCTAGTCCCTTTAGCCCTGGGGGAAGCAGGCTAAACCACACTGGAGTGTGATTTGTTGCTGTCTCTGCTGGCTCTTGAGATGTAGCATTGATTATATTACACTTTTATATTCATTTAGCATTCTCCTTGATCCTCCTGGACTATACAGTGCATGCATACAATATTCATAGAGATCTCTTTTAAAAGTAATACTTCACACCGGTTGGGTTTTTGACAGAACTTTTCACCTCAAGCTTCCAGCCAAACCCGCCAGCACTATAACAATGGAAATGCAAACATCTAAATTTTTTAAACATCTACAAATGAACATTTCAGTTTGGTAGATCCTTCATATAATACAACCCAACCCCCTGTCTTGTTTGTAATCCTTGACTATTAGCTCAGGTTGGGGCATATGAAACAACAAAGAGACAGGACTTAGTAAAGACAAGTGCGAGCTTGCAACGCTGGTTAATGCAGTTCGAATTTTCATAGCTAGTGTTCAAAGGCTAGGTTGAGCTGCAAAAAGGGTCAGAGGTGTTGCGGTTTGTGTGACTCTGTGGGCCTGCTTAACAACTGTCCTCACCCTTGACATAAAATGACACACACTGATCATAGTATTCACAGTAATTAGAGGTCCTATTCATTGTGCCCTTCACGAGGCATACCACTCTTATAAAAAACATGTGCTTAGACATGTTTTATCAATCCATCAAAGATTGCACGACATGAATCACCAACTTGTGCCGTTTCATCATTCTCATAAAAAGCCAAAACTGATGAACAAGTACTTTCTGATGGACCATTTGAAGTATAGAGTTTACCTGTTTTTGCGTCAATGGTGAAATATATGCGTTGAGAATCTAGGATCTGGAAAGCGAGCTTCCCCTCAGAGGACTTGTCTATGTCTGTGGCAGATACTTTTAGCACAGATTTGTCCTTTGGCAAATTCTCTTGCACTGAGCCAAAGTAGACAGGCTGGGACAGCTCAGGGGGATTGTCATTAATATCCCAAACTTCAATGTAGACCTCGGTCCAGGATACCAGTGGTACAGTGCCCAGATCTTTTGCACAAACTGTCAGCCAATAGTGTGGCACGGCTTCACGATCCAGAAGGCCTGCGGTCCGAATAACACCTGCAAAATGTAATTGTCCAGAATCACTAACCGATAGCAACAGCAATATACTGCACATTTAACAATAAATGTGTGCTTGTCTTCATATAATGTTAAACATTCGGTTATACATTATTTTAAGGACCAATACTCACTATTAACTAGTTGCTTATTAGCATGCATATTACTAGCATATTAGCTCTTTATTAGTACTTATAAAGCACATATTAATGCCTTATCCTGCATGACCATATTTTAGATCCCTTCACCTTACCCCATACCTAAACTTAAAGGGATAGTTCACCCAAAAATGAAAATTCTGTCATTAATTACTCACCCTCATGTCGTTCTAAACCCATAAGACCTTCGTTCATCTTCGGAACACAAATTAAAATATTTTTGATGAAATCCAAGAGCTTTCTGACCCTCCATAGACAGTAATGCAACTGAAATGTTCAAGGCCCAGAAAGGTAGTAAGGACATCACTGAAATAGTCCATGCGACATCTGTGGTTCAGCCTTAATTTTATGTCCATGTGACATCAGTGATCTCTTAAAAATCATAAAATTAAGGTTGAACCACTGATGTCACATAGACTATTTTAACTATGTCCTTACTACCTTTCTGGGCCCTGAACATGGTAGTTGTGTTGCTGTTTATGGAGGGTCAGAAAGCTCTCAGATTTCGTTAAAAAATATCTTAATTTGTGTTTCGAAGATGAACGAAGGTCTTGCGTGTTTGGAACAACATGAGGGTGAGTAATTAATAACAGAATTTCTTTTTCTGGGTGAACTATCCCTTTATCAACTGACTTACTAACTATTAATAAGCAGCAAATTAGTAGTTCATTGAGGGAAAACTATGTGTATTGTGTTCCCTAATCTAAAGTATTATCAAACATTCATAACAAGTATCAACATTTGTTTTTTTTGTCCTTTAATTCTAAAATCACTTCATCATACAATGTGCACACGAACTGCAAAACTCAACCCAATAATTATGTAGTCAAAGAATAATAGTTTATGTAATGTAACAAATGTTATTGGCAAATGCCTAATATCTTTCAACGTGCAGGAGAAAGTTATGTATCATTTTGTCTTTACATATGTTTGGTATGCCTAATGACTGATCTGTACATGTTTGAACATGCAGTGTTGACCCAACATGCTTAAGGCAGGTGCTGTAATAGAAAAGGCCAGCAATATCCATGAGGTATTTTTCTATCTAGGTAAAGCATGTGAGACGTGCTGTAATCAAAATCATACCTGTTTCTTCATCAATTGTGAAGACGCCAAGCCCTGAGCCATCATTGATGTAATATCTGACTACTCCATCCTGTCCCAGGTCGTTATCTACAGCGGTTAGTGTCAATACTGAGGTTCCTACTGTAGCATCCTCCATAACGGCTGCGTTATGCACAAACTGGGTAAAGAGGGGTCGGTTCAGGTTTTCGTTTACATCTAACACTTCAACCTCAATGAAGCATGAAGATGATAAAGACCGGGGCTTTCCGTGGTCAACAGCTCGAACTGTTAGATTATACGACTGCTGCTTCTCAAAGTCCAGTTCACGCTCCAGAGTCAAGCACCCTGTGGATGTATCCAGGAAAAACGTCCCTGCTTCGCTATTCTTTAGGTTGTAGCTTATGAGACCTCCGCTCTCCAGATCTAAATCAAAGCTTTCGACCCACAATAGCACTGTGCCTGGAGGAACATCCTCAGGAACTTTGATCCTGTAGATTGTAGGTACAAACTTTGGAGGATTGTCATTGATGTCCTCCAGTACAACCACCAGATCTGTAAATGAGAAAAGCTGTGGGTCCAGTTTGGCTTGATCTCTGGCCTCAATTGTTATGTCGTATCTGCTAAAGGTCTCTCTGTCTAAAGGCCCAGTTACCTTCACCACCCCTGTGACTTCATCAATCTTGAACAAATCGGTGAAGGTTAGCAATGAAAATGTAAATGCTCCATTGTCTTCAGAGTCAAAATCGACTGCATTGACTTTGAATATGCTTTTGTCAACCTCTGTGTTTTCTGGGATGTTCACAACATATCTTGGCTGAGAAAATAACGGAGGATTATCGTTTGCATCAAGAACGTTAACAGCAAGAAGCTTCCATGTAGAGGCTTGTGGAGATCCCAGATCAAACACGGTTATGTTGAGAATGTAAAACTCTTTTTGCTCTCTATCCAAAGCACTGATTACCTGCAGTTCACCCGTGTTCATGTCAATAGTAAAACATCCATCCTCATTTCCACTGGAAATTGCATAGACAAGCTTTCCATTAAAGCCAGAGTCATTGTCAGTGGCATTAAACTGCAACACAGATCTATCGAGAGCAAAGTCTTCCCTGATGTCGATTGAGCTTGGTGTGCCTGCGATAAACTTTGGAGAGTGCTGGTTAATTATATGAATGTCTGAGATATACTCTTCTTCTTTGGCGTTGAGAGACGGCTTAAATGACTCAATAAGCTTCTCTGTCAACTGCCTTGTAATTCCGGTCTCCTCGCAATGTGTGGTGGCGACTTCGCCCTTGCTTGTGATACGCACAGTCACGGTGTTGGGGTCAGCACTATATTTGCCATCTGTTGCTGTTATTTTAAGTATATAAAAAGGATTTTCTGTGCCTTCGAACTTTGAGGGAATTGCCCTAGCAAGTTTAATGGAGCCAGAAACGGGGTTAATTGTAAACAGTCCGTCATCATTCCCAGACTCTATCCTGTATATGATCTGCTGCAGCTCATCCAGATCGAGTGCTGACATCTCTGCAATACTCTCCCCCACAGCAAAGTCTCGGGGTATGGAGGCATTGCATGCCACCCGCTCAAACACTGGAACATTGTCGTTGACGTTGGTCATGGTGATGGTTCCGGAGCATTCGCTTACTCTGTTGAAAGGGCTTCCGCTATCAGACGCCCAGATTCTCAGGTGGTACCATCTCTTCATAAGCTCATAATCAAACTCCTGAGAGGTCGAAATCACACCGGTCAGTGGGTCTATATTGAAAGGAACTGGACTTGTGTTTGCTACAGAGTATGTTACAAAACCATTGTTATCTTTGTCCACATCAATAGCAGAGACAGCCAAGATGCTTGTTCCGATCGGGACGTTTTCAGGCAGAGAAGCCTGGTATGAGGGCAACGTGAACCTGGGGGCATTATCGTTTTCATCAATTATATCCACAACGACACGGGTAAACGCTTCTCCATCATTTGCTGTGACATCAAACTCATAGTGAGAGTGCTTTTCAAAGTCAAGAGTCTGAGAAGTCATTATCACACCAGTTTTGGCACTGATTTTGAATTTATAGCTATCCGGGTTTTCTTTGATGCTGTAGGTTATATTTTTGAAACTCAAACCTACAGATACTCGAACTACGTGACTTTTCGGTGGAGAAAATTCACTGAGAGTGACGTAATAGAGTTCTTGTTCGAACATCAAAGGTTTAACTTGAGGAGGAGGAGGTGGTATATGCACGTTTTTTATAGGCGTTAGCAAAGGAGGGTTTCTTCTGTCTTTGGCTTGCAGGGAAATGTTTAGTCCAAATGGGTTTTGCGACCAATCAATCCATTTTGTTGAGACCAATTGAAAGCCACCATCATGCAACGTCGATTGAATAATCTGAAAGCACTTCAGCGGATCCCCTTCAACTATACTTAAAGATGCCACTTTCTCCTTTTCCTTGGGTTCCGTTTTGATGTTCACACTTATTTTGTCGTCATCCGTCTGTGGAGTCGCTGCACTGGTGGGTGTGACGAGGGTAAAGTTTTCTGTCACAGTTTGTATGGCCACAACAAACTTTGCTACGTTTCCAAACTTCTGCACACCAGAGATTTTCTTTGTCCTGTCCTCTGCCAGCACAGTCAGCTCATACCTGTCTCTCTGACTGGCGTCAAGCGTCTTGATAAGTGTAACGGTCCCTGTGAACGGATCAACGGCAAAGGGGTGTGATCTAGTGGTGAATGAGTAATAAAATTCTGCGTTGCTGCCAATATCAGCATCCGTTGCGCTCACTCTCACCAGACTTGACTTGATTGGTGTGTCTTCTTTGATTAGCGCATGATAAGAGGCAGGGTAGAAGAGTGGTTTCAGATCATTTGTGTCAAGCACTTGGATCGATACCTTTGTTCTAGCTCGGTTGTCATAGGTGCTTTCGGTAGCCTCGACGGTGAGAGTGTAAATGTCTCGTACCTCTCTGTTCAGCACAGCTGAGTAACTGCTTCGGGTTTTGATTCTCAGAAAGCAGAAATCTCCTACGGTTACCTCTTCGGCTTTGAAAAGGCCATCGTCATCTCCAGAGACAATCTTGTACTTAACGTCCCAGAAGGGATCAGATAGTATGATGCCCATTCGGACCGGGCTCTCCGTATAGGTCCTGGGGGCAGAGTTCTCATAAATGCTGGCATTATATAAATGATGGGTGAACCTCAGCAGAGAGTTGTCTTTAACCAGGCTCCCCTGACATCTGGTTAGCGTTCCTAGGACTGCTATGACAATGAGAATTATGGCTGTGTCTGTGAAAGCCATTCTCACTGTCTCAACCTGGACCCGCAGACCTGAAGAGAAGGAAACAAAATATTTAAAACTCATTTTTTTCTGGCAAGTAGACCACAACATGGTTTTACCATGAGCTGATATGCCAAAGTAATATTACAATGACCATTATCTAACCACATACCGAAACTAAAAAGCACAAAACACACACACGCATATTCATCTCATTGTCTGTTTCACCTAGTTAAAGACCATAGTCGGGTACTTTTTGTCCCGTTTTGACATGCCTTGACAAGCTACATTACATTGTTTAACCGTGAGAAGAGCACCAGAACTCTTTAAACCAGGTGATACATTTACACATAGTTGAGCCAGGTTTCTTTAACTACAAGTCAACTACAATTAGCATATGAAAATGGGTTTTGTAACTTATAAACTAGACTGCACTGGGTTGCTATTCAAATCGGGTACCAAAATTATTTATTTTGGGGGCGCCTGACATTGAGCTTCCCTTCCTCACCCTCTTGTTCGACAGCAATTTTTAGCGACAAGATTTAGCCCAATGTTTCATATCCCACCCAGTTTCAAATAAACATACAATTTATTCTTTATTAAACACTAAAACAAATATGGTAACACTTTAGTATAGGGACCAATTGTCACTATTAACAAGTTGCTTATTAGCTATTATTAACATATTGGCTGTTTATTAGTACTTATAACGCACATATTTTACATGAACATATTCTACATCCATAATCCTACCCAATACCTAAACTTAACAACTACTTTACTAACTATTAATAGGCAGCAGATTAGGAGTTTGAGGCAAAAGTCATATTTAATGGTTTGTTAATGGCGAGAATTGGACCTTAAAATAAAGTGTGACCATATATTTTTGCTTTGGAGCCATGAAAATGCATGTCTTTAGTTTAATTTCTTTTTTCTTTTTTTCAGTTAAATTAGCTTGAATTTCAAATATTAAGATATTTCAGATGTTTTTACTTAAAAGTTAGCACACTGACTGAAAGTGTACTTTGTGAGGTGCCAAATATTGTATTGCATTAACCCCCAAAAACGGATTGTTATGCCCCTGATTTAACTACAATACACTGTGTGACACCAGGTAAAAAAAAAAAAGGAGACTGTAAAGAATTAAAAGCAAGCTGAACTAATTTACGCTTATTTAAACTAGCCTGTATACTTATATAGATGTATGATAACAGTTCTAACCGCCATATATCTCTCTAGATGGGGGTAGGGGGAATTGTAGCCATATTTCCCAGAACGCATCAATGGGATAGAGGTAGTAACAGAGAATTAATCTGTCCCATACTGGTTAGACTTAAATAAAGCCTGCATTTCTGTGTGGGTTTCAGCAATAATACTTCTTAACTCTTTTGAAATCTCCTGAAATCCAACAGGTAAGAGTTGTGAAATCCCTCAGGGTGAGTCTGTTAGCAGTAGGATGTGCAGTGTGCTGCTCTCCAGCCTACACTCTCACAGCCCAGGTGGCACGCACTCGGATCAGGTTTCACTATCAGTTCTCACTTTGGCAGTTTTGTTAGATTTAATGACATTTAAGGATACTGTGAACAGTTCCGCATGCTTGTAATGGTACTAAATCAAACTTTACATGCAGCAAGCACTAATAACACTCAAGAAAGTCACATCAAAACAAACTGTAGCATGTGTTTAAAACATGCACCACAAGTAAGCCAACAAAGTGCAGTCTTCAACTATTGCACGTACTGCAATTTTTCATACTCTACAGGAGTTCTTATTACTTTCCCTGCATGATCAGTGCTTTGTGATGCATGGATTACTATAGGATTACACTAGCTCTTGCTGTTGGTTTATTGTTTGCAAAAGTTGTGGCCAGAGCCAAGCATCAACATGCCCACAGATGCGTCATTTTTAACAGAACAGCTAGTTCGGCGGTGCTGAGGCATTACGGATGACGTGGAATTGAACTTCCTCCCAAAACGTTTTTGAACTGCCTGCTAATTAGATTATGATAAATGCAGTTATCTCTGTTTAAAGCAAAGCAATGAATGCATTTTTTTTCTGTCGTATTCTATCTAGTTTAAATCCTTTTCTCAAAAAAAAAGTATTGCTCAAAAATCTTTACAACATTTTCGTGTGTGAGCTGGTTCCCCATCTGTCGATGGATACTTACGTGAGGACCTCACATAAATTTCCTCACATCCACACCTAGTGCCACAGGGAGGCAATTATCTAAATTGCTAGGAGGGCTTCAGAGAATGGATAGTTTAGACAAATGGCTTAAACCCAGTTTACTTGGACCTGGACATTTAAGGTGGCCACATTCTTGTTATCGTCAAGGTGTCCACCTTCATCTATAACCCTCTTGTACCACAAAATGTTCAATATGTAATCAACTCAATGTTCAATATATAATCTCTAATGAGCACACCACGTTAAAGGCCTTGATGGATGAGATGTGAAATTGCTATGTGTATTTAGGAAGAAATAATATTTCATATTGACCGAGATTACCTTAGGCCCCAGTCAAAATGTGTTAGAATAGAGGAGAGCTTCTGTTTGTGTTTTAGATGACAAGTTGAACATTTGAATTAACAATAATAATATAAAAAGAACATTAGTATGTGCTTTAATAACTAATTTTTTATAAACACACAGACCTGTGAAATGCACTTGCAGTCTTCTCATTAGTAATTACTAGCACCGTTTTGTTTGCACCGATATTTAAAATACTTTTATCTGTATTTAGAAAATGAAAAACACTTTATTTTAAGGACCAATTCATGCATATTACTATCATATTGGCTGATTATTAGTACTTATAAAGCACATATTAAAGCCTTATTCTGCATGACCATATTTTAGATACCTTAATCCTAAACTTAAGAACTACCTTACTAACTATTAATAAACAGAAAATTAGAGGAATTTATTGAGGCAAAAGTTGTAGTTAATAGTGAGAATTGGACCTTAAAATACAGTGTGATCACACAATTGCAACACTTGTGACAGCCCAAAGAAATGCTTACCACAGCAAAATAATAAGATTTATAAAATCCCACAAAGCATCACCAACACACTTTTGGATGTAGATTCAAATCCATTAACAGAAAGTTCAGCAAACTGACACCGCATGCCTGAGTTTCACCGCATCTCAGAAACTCACCTGAGGTCCTCGACTGCTGCTATGCATAAAACTTTTCCCAAAGTCCTCACACCTTTGGTATGACAGCATTCCCGTGCGGAAATAAATCGAATCGCTTTTCATCCATAATGAACACTAAAACTCTGCCAGAAAAGCCAGTGTTGACGGTTCCAGCTAATTTAGCATGTTCACGAGACTAAAGAGTTGCAAGTCTGTTGAGACACCTCATTCCCTGAGGAATCAGGTTGATCTTCTCCTCCCCAATCCTGATGACACTGTCCCTCCCTCTGAAACCCTCCCCCTCCCCCTAAACTCAGCCCAACACCCATCAACCATCAGCCAGGCACACAGATTGGAGGCGTTTTTACCCTTTCTCTCTCTCTCTCTGTCGGCCTTTTTGTTTGTTTTAGCCTTTGGGCGAGGTAGATCTCAAAGTTTTACACAAAGTCCCGTTCAAAGTAAACACACAGCTCATAGGTTTCATATTGCTGAGTACAGTACAGAGTCTCTGCTTTGTGCTAGATGCAGTCACCTCAATGCTTTTGAAGTCTGTGGACAAAATATGGAAACAGTCTTAAGAAAATTAGTGGCTGATTAACTCAAGAAAGCTAAACACGAAACCGCTCCAACGGATACCAGAAGGCAATTACCTATTATTAGTGCTAGCGCTACTGCTAACAGCCTGAAGCACATAGCCTTTGTTTGACTGTTATGTAAACAGAGATCACCGTTCACACTCAGGCTACCTATAGTGTAATGCATATCATGTTGAGACGCAAGGTGATCAGCATTTCTTTAGCAGATTCCCCAATTAAAAGTTCTCCACAGTCACAGACCCAAAATTGATTCAGAAATGTACGTTGAGGTACGACAGCACTTTTTCATCCAGCTACCCGCCAGCGATGATGCAAGCAGACCCCACTCTCTGTGCCAAGATCTGCCGTGGAGCGAGAGAGGATGAGCACATGGAGCAGGCACGGCCCACAAATAAGACTCAACAGACGGTGGGCACCGGGCCACCAGAAGCAGGTGGACTTCGCCGAAGTGCATTTTGAGGATGAAGTGAAAAATGTGCAACCCTAAGGGCACGAGAGAAAGCCACATGCATCTATATTTCACAATGCTGCTTATTTGGACAGTTTTATGAGTGGATTAAGCATGTTCACATCAGTATTTAGTGACATCCTGTCTTTTGAGAGCTTGTGGACTGACATGATTTCACACCATATCTTGATAATGGATCAATCATCACTTACAAGAAAGAAAACCAAACCCCTTAATCCTAGGATCCACAAACTAAAAGATACAAAGCGTTTCTTGACACAGTCTCAGAACGAAGCGTTCACTATCAGTCAGCAGAAAAAGCAGACTTGAGTGACAGCTCTGTTTTATCTGCCTCCTCTCAGATAATGTGTTGACCTTCTCATTGTGTGCTTCTCTGATTCTTTGTGTCCTCATTTGCCTTGAATTTACATTAACTGTCAGAGGACTGTGAAGGAGTCAAACAGAGTGTGTCGTTGTGTTCAGCTTCCCTTAAAAAAACGCTAAACTTTAATTAAGTCATTGTACTCACTCAGCATGTGAATATTTGTCACCATCAGTCTTTCCAGACATGGTGTGTACATTTTTAAAAAGCCGTTTCAGGATTAGGAGTGATGCTGTACAGTCCCATACAGCATATAAATGGATATTGACAGACACTTAATTATTTCTTTCTAATGGCTATTGGCAGACTTTGAATTTCTCTGTGATATTTCTCTATGATTATTTGTAGGCTATATTTATGCAATAATGTTAAAGGGGTCATAGGATGCCCATTTTCCACAAGTTGATATGATTCTTTAGGGTCTTCGTGAAAAGTCTGTAACATAGTTTGGTTAAAATTTCTCAATGGTAGTGTAAAAACCACTTTTCCCGTCAAAAACAGCTCTTTTCAGATCAAGCCG